AGTATTCACGCAGTATTTTAGGCGCCATGTGTTTCACTCTGACCGCACTGTGTTTGGCGCAATGCGTGAAGTATTCATGCATTCTTGTAGGCGCTATCCGTTTCACGCTGACCACAATAACCGCACTGTGTTTGATGCAATGCGTGAAGTATTCGTGCAGTCTTGTAGGCGCTAATATGTGTTACATGCCGATTGCCGCGCCGAGGGCTTCTCCTTTTCATCTCAAGTCCTCGTCATCATTTCTCCCTGAGTCAGGCCAAATTTTGTGTTAGGTTTCTCTCTTAACTCGACTAATTAAAGGTGCTGTCTCTTGTATCACTGAAAAGCGACAAAATTAGAAATTACTATGCTCTCTGGAAATGAGAGATTTTGTAGCCTTTTTTCGTTTGTATTTTTATTTTCTAAATCCGATTTTTTTTTATACCTACATTTAAAAAAAATTGCAAAATTTGCCGCCCCCTAGATTTGCCCTAGATGGGCCGCGGCCCATGTGGCCACCCCCTTAATCCGGTCCTGTCTTTAAAGCGGAGCAAAGTTAAAAGCGGAACGGAAATTAGGCACTGTGAAAAGTAGTTCGGCTAATTTGGTTTTTTCCATGCCTAATGAATACGCCATTCGTACGTGACGCCATTATTTTTAAAGGTTCAATCCGTTATGCGTTTCATAGAGGGGGATATTATGGTTCAGAAAATCTAGTTACCTATGAGAATTTTTTCATAAAAGTTCGACTCTGGATTGTGATGTGACTTTTATACAACATTTCTGCCTATATTATAAGATGTTCCTTCAAGAATAAGATCATGTAAATAGAGGGGAGGGGAAATTCAATCCCAATTTTTGTATCAAAAGGGAATTTTTGGGGCGAACTCTCATCGAATGAGAGCATGAAAACGCCCTCTGTAAGACCGTTTTGTGACCTAAACCTCTATGGGTGAAGAACAGACAGAAAAGAAAAATGAAAAGGTTTCGGTGCCTTTTGCAGCTCTTAATCGTTTCTGAGAGATGTGCATCAATTCTTGACATGTTTTCGCAGGTTTTCAAAAGCTGAACGTCAAACAATCTTATTCGAAACTCAATTAACAGTGAAGCAGCCTAGAGTAGTGGGTAAATTCGATTTTCCCAGATAATTCTTCGACACGGAATGACGACGCAAGAGAAACGCCTTCAATGTGAGAAGATACTTCCTAGCGTGGCCTCAAAGGCTGAATAGTTGCATCAGGTGAGAAACCCAATCAAAATTGTACTCAGTCGGGTGGATTAAAAATAATGCGGTTGCATCAGATAGTTATTGGATGAAGAGTCTCGACGCATAAAAAACTCCTTCATTTTGAATAGATACTTTCTAGCGTGACCTTAAAGGCCGAATAGTTGCATTATTTATTTAAAATTCAATCAATAGTGAATGCATCTCGAATGAGTGAGCATACATATGCGATCGCTTCAGGCTTCAGGCTTCAGATGGTTGATGATTCTTTGATGAGTTCACGGTGCATAAGTAACGCCTTCACTAATGAAAGATACTTCCTAGTGTGGCCGCGGAGGTGGAATAGTTGCATCAATTGCATCATACAGAAACTCAATCTATAGCGTAAAGTAGTATGTAGATTAGTCACTAATCTGAAGAGGTAAAAAAAAGTGGACGTTAGAACCTAAATGATCTCTACGCATGAGCCAAAAGAATTATTATTTTAACAAAAAAATTGACGAAATCTAAAAAAATGAAAGCAAAATCCTGTCTAGAAGAAAATCTCGCATTCTGTACAGTTTTCTGATTTCTGTATCTAGTACGAGTTTCTTTTTAAGACAGAATGCTGCTTTCATCCCTCTAGATATTGCCAATTTTTTGGTGTATAATGATTTTTCAGGCTCATGCGAAGAGGCTATCGTCCTTTTTTGGCTAAAAATTCAAAATCTGCCGAATTTTTTTAAATAATCGATGACATATATCGCACGTCAGTACGACCATCCCAGAACCCGAATCACCTTAAATTTTGCAGAGTGGGAAGCAATGAAAAGTGTATGTAATGTAACTTCTATATAATTCTCCCTCCACCCCCCCCACCATTTCGGTAAAATGAGTACGAAATAACACCCGGAACCCTGAACAATTCAAATTGTGAGAAAAATAATAAGGAACGTACGCGTCAGTCAATGGAGGGCAATTTTATTTTTCATTTCGGCGAAAGGTGAACGACTGGAGGAGAGGATTCTGAGACGTATTTACGATGCCTCAGCTGGCAGCAGCGCAGCGCTCAATGAGAGGAGTGGTTCCCAAAATAGTGGACTTTGCAGCCTGCTACGTTGAGTATCGTCTGCGCACTGCGTAATAATTCAATCTACCTATTATTAGAGTTTTGGAGGCCTCTTTCCACTTTTCAAGATCGATTCGACGATCTGTAAACTGCATTATTTCTTACCTACTTACATCAATATAGGTAGGTAACTGCATCTTGTACCATCTTGGAGAGATTTTCCGAGCTTGAGGCTGAAAAACCAAAACCTTATGGAACGGAACAGAAACCATTCTTCATTTTCATGAAGTTCAGTAAAAAATAACTAATTGGGTATTGAAGGAAAAAATTAAATTTAAATAAATGATTAGACTGACGCCACCACTGATCCAGTAAAAACGAAGCGTATGTTGCTCGTATGCGATACAGTTGGCTTTGAAACCGTTTGAAACACGCGCTGTACCTACTGAAATTCTGAACTATATTTTGGCCTTTCTTTTTTTTTGTGTACATTTACTCACTTAATTAAATTTTTACTGTCTTGCGCATAAGTACACAGGGGCGGACTGGCCCTAAATTAAGTATGGGGCGGGCCTCTAGGGGGGTCTGGGGGGGCCCATCAGTAGAAGGGGGGTCCGGGGGCCCTCCCCCGGAAAATTTTGAAAATTAGGCCCTTTTAGAATGAATTTTACGCTATTTCAGACCCTATTCTTTAATATTATTTTTGAAACATTATCCAAAAAGAGACCAGATATGCAAAACTTAGTATATTTTCTTAAACTGGATGAAAAAATGAGAATCCGTTGTATACTTGGCATTCAACTTTTATTTTCCTCTTCCAACGAAAAATTGTGCCAAAGCTAAATTAGTATACAGAAGATACATAGAATCAAGTAGAATAGTAATAGTGACAGTCTAAAATGAACACATTCTGAAAAACACAGTTCGGATTTTTTTGTTCCTTTGTTTTTTTTAAATGTACTTTTTAGTCGCCAGAATTGACAACTGTCTTAATTTTTTTTGAACGTTTTATTGGATCCTTTCTTCGCTCTGCTCATAGAAAAATCAGTGCCGTTTACTAGTTAAATGACGCGTAATGAATGAATAAATCGATGGTTAAATTCTGAAAACACGTTTAACTCGGAATCCGCATCATGAACCTTGAATTAGAAAAAAGTCATTGGGGCTGCCCATACAATACGTAACGTATTAAGGGGGGAGGAGGGGGGGTCAAGCCCAACGTTACGTAACTCTTTTTTGCCGTAAGACCTTTTTTTTCATTGTTAATTTAAAAAACTGACCAAAATAGGGGGGAGGGGCGAGGCTTGTGTTACGTATTTATTTATTTTTTTTGAGGGGGGGGATGGTTCGAGCTTGCGTTACGATGCGTTACGGAGGGGGGGATGGAGGTAAAAAAATCGGAAAAACTGCGTTACGTATTATATGGACAGCCCTCATTATGGATTTCGCTAAAGGGGGGAAAAATCGCCGAAGGCCTCTACGAAATCCCTTGAGGAAGGTAGGAAAGGTTCCCTACTAGGGGCCTCCAAAGTTCAAAATTGCATAGAAATGCGCCCTCGAGGCCTCTCTAAATCAGTACCAAAGGGCCCCCGGCAAAAAGGACCCTTTTGTCGAATCGGCGATAAAGAGCCCGGTGCCTTGAAGGTCCTTAGAGGCGGTATAAAACCGCATCAAGGCCTCTTCAAATCGGCAATAAATGGTCCCTTGGAAACGGCAAAAAAGGACTCCTTCGAATCAGATAAAGGGGCTCTTTTAAGGTCCTTAGAAGCGGCAAAAAAAGGCTTCATCGAGTCTTCTTCGAATCGGCAATAAATGAGTCCTTCAGGGCTCTTCCGAAATGACAAAAAAGGACCCCTTTGGACTTATTCGAATCAGAAAAAAGGGCTCTCAAAATGCAACGCCCTTAGATACGGCATAAAAAAGCTCCTTCAGGGCGCTCTCCGAATCGGCAAATAAAGTGTCCTGTCCTCTCAGGAGTCTCGGGGCCCTTTCTCGAGGACGAACCGAAAAAGCCCTCGGGCGCTTCTTCGAAACGGCAAAATACGGCCCTTCAAATCGGCCAAAAGGCCGATTCTTCGAAACGGCGAAATACGGCCCTTCAAATCGGCCAAAAGGCCGATTTGGCCGATGAAAGTGGGGCGATCGCCCCATCGCCACCCCGGCCAGTCCGTCCCTGTAAGTACATAATGCAAGCAAAAAAGGAGACCGAAGTAAATACAAAATATACGACTCCACTCTTTCAGAGGAGGAAAGATTAAAATTTGTATTTATACTCCTTGTTCGATAAATTCATTCAGAAAATGGGAATTTCCCACTTTTCCACCTGAACAAAGCCATTTCCCTGAAATGCATTGAAATAAACTGAAATCGAACTGAACGATGATAGACAGAAAATGGAATCGAGATCGGTTTCGAGCACGATGCAATACGTAGTTTTAAAAGCTCACGAAAAGTGACTTTTAAAATAAGAAGAGAAAACGCGAACAGTCTTGAAAAGTTCAGCTGGGTTGAAAACACAGTAGGATACGACTTACTTCAATGAACGTTTTCAATAGCGTTGCACGGTGTGAGGCTTGGTTTTCCAATTCCGTTGGACGCCAGTGCGGCGTATTCATTCCTCCCCTCTTGAATTTTTACAGTGGATTCTTCCGAGCCTAGACTCGTTCTTCATCTCGCGAGCCCTGTCTCGTAGAGAGTGGGGCCTGCGCGCGAGCCTGCCGAGGAACTACTCCCGCCAGCATGACGTCACATTCGAGACAACAGTGTTGAGAGTAATGTGATGTGGTAAAGTGCTGTGTTCTTCTAACTGGAATCCAAAATATTGGCTTTGTGAAGTTTTGTGCGGTTTTTCGCCTTCGTTTTTTCTCTCATGTGCTTGTGGAATGATCAGTGATTTACAATGCGATGAAAAGTGAAAATTTCAATTCCAAATGACGTGCTACAAATAAAATGGTTAGAGAGACTCGTCACTTGTGGGTCGGAAATTTGCCGGAAAGCATCCGTGAGGAGCGTGTGAGGGATCACTTCAAACGGTAATTTGCCCTTTCCTAGTAGTTATTTATCCTAGTTGTGTACTAATCTATTCTTTAGGCTTTACCACTTTCTGAACGGTTTAATACGGCCCATGGAGGACGTTTGGTTACCTAAACCTAGGTTCATTGACGGTCAAATTTCTGGAAATTCATCTTCCTTTGTTGCATCTGTAGCTTTTTCCAACTCGGTATTGAAATTCTTTCTCCCTCCCATTGATGGGAAATTTCTACTTCTTATCTAGTTTGCACCAAGCCTGCTAACTTGTCAATTTAGGCTGTAATCTCTGGTTTTAACATAATGCGTTCTTTGTCAGTCGTTTGCATCTAGTTAATTGTGCAATCTTTACTTCCAAACGTTTTGTATTAATATTTACAGAGGCATTTCTGCAGCAGTATGTACCTCATAGGCTGTAATATCCAACCCTACGATTTCGATTGGTTCGGACGGCAGGTTTTCCTGTTCAAAACAATCCACGCTCGAGCTCCCAACCAAACTTACGGTGTTTTCTTGTTTATTGGGACATTCGGGAGGGCCTATGGTTTTCTATAGGTGATTATTCAATCCTAAGAATTAAGTTCACAACAGTTTCAATTAATTCATGCGCTATTATCTGAAGGATTGATACCATTTAATGTCTTGATAGATGCTCTTTTCAACCGCTCGCGACGTTACCTCACCCCTAATCCTTCAAGAAGTACAGAATACTGGGTTGTTAAGGTCTGAACTGCAGTCATTCTGTGTTTTTAATTGCTGATTTGTCGATGTGTTAGGTAAATGCAGGCTTGAGTAAACCGCATCCATATGTCGAAGAAGGTTCCCCTACACCTAAATTGCATTTTGTAAACAGAAATGAAACTATTGGCAGTACTTACTTGAAATTAAAATGTGATTTTTCTTCTAACTGGTACGAAGGAATTATTTCCTATGAACCATGAATTTTTATTATTCTTTCCTTCCAGAAGACCAAGATGAAGAAAGTATTGATGTTTTGCAGTCCTGCAATGTACTTGATTATTTTTATTTGCTCAGAAGAGGTTATAGCCACCTCCAGTTAGGGTCTTGCGTGGCAAGTCCTTCCACTAGTCCAATTCGTCTGATGCTTTTTATGCCAGATATCTCTGAGGCAACAAACCCCATACTCCCACAACTTAACAATTAATCACAGGTGTAAATGCCTGTGTTGAAGGAGACAAACTAAGGGGTCACGATTAAGTCAGAAAAAATTTATATCGTTGCTCAATGTGGGGTCCGAATGTTATACTTTGCAATCTTCCATCACTTTGTACAATTTTCAGCAATTTTTGAGGTCCACAGAAACTGAATTAAAATCTTGTAACAAGCAATTTTCATCCATCAGTCGGAAATGGCAAACCAATCATCTGCTAGTGTTGGATTAATAGCCAGTTATAACTTTAAATTTTTACTAGGTAGTACATAGACAAGTTTCCATGTAATCCATTAACTCAGTACTTACAGTTGTCAAACAAAGCAGCTTCTTGTCTCAATTTTTCTTCTTAAATATCTTTCTTTGTAGGTACTCACTTTTAAAGGACATCTAGCTAAAATTTATGGAAATCTAATCCCCCCAGGACTTGCTTTGAGTCCATAGCTAAAAGGAATAGGTATAGAATTTCTTGTCTTATTGCCTTCATAGAATTATGTAAACTCAGAAACGAGGATCATGAAATCTTATTAATTTCCATCCACTCAGAGGGAATCTTCTTGAACAGTCAGCATATTTACCATTCAACCTTGTAGTTCAAGAAAGGAAATTGATTCCACTTCATACCTGAAGAAACTGTATCATCCTAGGGGACTTGCCTTCAGCCTAGAAAGTATATGCCCTTTTCTTCACGCTCCAAGATTTCAAAGCTGGAAGAAGTATTTTATTGTTACTTCTATTTGAAGTTTCTCCATGCGAGCAGTGAAAAGATAGCATCATATCAGCATCAATGGGTAATACCTACTGAAGTTTCCTTGGACGATATTTTAGGATTATGGGAGTCAACTGTTTTAAAGCAGAAGTAGGTATCTAATTTTCTGAAAGTGTCACTGTCGGCCAATGGAAAGAATGATAGTTTTTCTGCTTTTCGTAGACACCTATCTCTTCCTTGTTGACTTTCTAAACGGAAATTTTGAGTCACCCAGTGCACTTGATTTTAATCTTTGCAAATGATAAAATTTACTTAACCGTTTGTAATTGTGATAATGATTTTTTCTAAAGTGAAGAATTTGCCGAAAATTTTCTCCACCGAAAAAAATCTGCTAAAAATTCCCTCTGGAGCGCGAATGCCCTAAGATTTCAGCGCTTTTTTAAAAGAAAAAATTAAGGAAACTTCCATTTGTCTTATTGCTGGAATGAATGGAACATTTGGCAAGAACGTTAAAAACGCACTGATATTTTTTAGTTACTCGTAGAATCTGTCTAGTTTTTCAGTTTTGCCCAATAAAAATAGCACCTGGCAGAATTGCAATAATAGCTCTCGCTGTCAAATTTAGTCCAGTTGTGCATGTTTTATTCGTTCGTCCATTACATAGCAACATCTCCAGGGTTTATGGCCGTCTGGAAAACCTGGAAAGTTCGGGGATTCACGGAAACCTTGAAGTGGAATGTTAGTGTCAGCGAAAGTCAGTGAAATAGACAGTTTTGTCGTCGAGGAAAATTAAGAATAGTCAGAAAGGCGTGAACCCTTGCATCTCCGCCAATTCCCGTCCGATAAATGTCCGGAGCGTTCCCCAACAGTCTGTTGTAATTAAAGGCGATCGTTAGTTCCTCAAAAAAATTCTGGTAATATCGCTACCATTTGACGCGAAAACTTCAAAACCTTTTTCGTTTCTAGTTTAGGGTACTGAAACTGAAAGTTCTTTTGGGGAAGTGGCCAGGCCTTTAAGAAGAGAGTTTCTGGGATTCCCTCTTTTGCACGTCTCTTCATGAACCGTCTGAAGAAAGCAGGAGAGCTGCAAGCAAGCCGTGTCAGAATGGTGTCACTTGCGTGAAACTCGGCATCGCTGCATCCGGGAGATTACGAGAACTCGGCGGCTGGTGGATCCGACAACGCCTCGATGGGGCACGTAATGGTCGGTGGGTGGCAACCCGGTTCAGGTGGGTTGCTTCAGCTCCGCAGTAGGGGTCGCTGTTGCCGGTTGGTCGCCCCATAGATGCTATTTGTTACATCACAGAAAAGCGATATTTCTATCGATTCCTCTCCATTGGTAGTATTGGTCTCATCGTTATTTTGTGAAACAAATAGATATAGCGAGGAATTCATTTTGTACGCAATCGCTAACAGCGTGTTCGATATATTTTATCTATTTCCATCTCAATTTTAATAATAATAAGTGAGACCAGTTGCTCCGTACCCTGGCCAGCTCTAGGATAGTCCACTGCTTCGTGAGCTCATGGCTTTTTTTTGCCTTTGGCCCTTGTGAGGGTCATTTACCAGGAAGATTACTGCATCTTATTTAGGACATGGATTCAGCCGGACCGATTGATATTCGTGCCAAAGCAAGAGGTGCATCATTGAATTCTATCCGATAGACCAGCTAATAATTCACACCAGCGTGGCAGAAATTTGGTTCTATCAGCTGGTTCTTTGCAAGTACTAGCCAGAACATCAGAACTCAAATGAAGTTTTCCCCCTCTGGAAAATAAATCGTGGAGCAAATTCTTGCAAAACCTTAAATATTGCTTTTATTAAGCCAGTGCATTAGTTTTCTAATACAGGCAGGTAAGAAGAGAATGTAGAATCAGAGCGGGGTTTTGACGTTCTAATTTGAGAAACCCTGGGGAACCCCTTTTCATAGCACGGTCTGTCCGCAACCATAATAGTGCCATTATCGTTTTTGCCGGGTTCGGGCGGTTTTGAGAACCAATTCTCTGCTTTTCTCTGTCAGTTGCTCTGTTGTCTCCTTGGCTCCCTGTTTTGAACGCGAAACGATTCTTCTTTGACCTTCACGCAGGTATTTTACCTGTCCGAGGTTCTTGCCAAACGTCGCGTTTCGAATCGGTGGTTTACCTTTTATTTCTCCTAGCCGTCTAAATGTGCACCATGGGTGACATTTTTACAGCAGTCCCTCGGTCCTAGTTCACGTTGAATCCTGTACATTCTCCCCTCTTCTTTCCGTCGAATGCCGACCCATAGTCATGTTCTTGTAAATGAACATTCCAAAACTCGGTCATTTTTTTGCTCCTCGCAAGTCGCATCAGCCTTATCTTGATGGACTTCAACCTACATAACTTTGCTTCATGGTCTCTTACAGAATGTCTAGCATCAGGATTTTCCCGATTCTATCAGAATTTGAGCAAAAATCGGTCGTATAATCAGGATTTGAGACAAGTCGGCCGTCCGATCGGATTTTTTTATCGAGCCAGTTTTGTGAATTTACATTCGCCTGATTTTTCTCCGCAACAAATCAGGATTTGGAAAAATTATGAAATCAGGATTTAGCAGTCAAAAATTAGGATATCCGGATGTCATCAGGGTATCCCAAAATGGAAAAAAAAACTAGACACCCTGATTTATCAGAAAATCTTTCCTGAATCTCCATACCTATTATTTTCATACCGTATTCTCCATAAGAAAAGGTTTTGAATAAATGTTCCAGTCATATTGGGTCTCCTCCCTCTCTGCACAACGTCATGACGTTATTCAGAGGCGCGCCAATGTACATCCTTTTACCTAAGATCTGCTCATTTTAGCAAACCCAGGGACTCCAAATTTCGATAGATTTTACTGTTTTTGTCAAGAGCTACCGCAGGTTATGCCGGTTGTGAAACTTTTGAAGACACGTCACGTCACGTCGCTCGGTAGTAAGAAGCGGACACCCTGGAACGTCGGAGCTTTCGTCGATCTTTTCGATTTGCAGAGGTATAGGCGCCGACGTGCTTTCGCGGCGCGGCGCGCTGGAAGGAGGGGGGAGGGGCTGGTGACCGTTATCAGATGACTCTTCTCTGAATTTCGCATCGGATTCGCAATAACCGACGTGTTATTGTGCTCAA